ACTTTTTTCCTAGCAAACTCAACTTGCATGAAAGAAAGCGCATTCAAAATTTGTGAGCTTTTAATTTGAACACTAATAATATACACGAAAAAATTACTCAATTCTGATTGGCTGAGAAAGGAGTGCAGCTTTTCTGTAACACGAGTGCAAAATGTGTAACACGAGTGCAAACTTCTATCACGAGTGCAAATTACAAATGCTTTCTGATTGGCTGAAAACACAAAAGAAACCAACAAGAATCAATCAGATTAGAACTGTTTTAACAACAAAATTCAAGAAAATGGCCATGGTTTTCAGCAGACAACGACGGGATTTACTTTTGTAAGCAAAACAACAATAGAAAAGTTAGAAAAATATTCCAAAAACCCGAACACAGTAAAAAGTACGTCTTTCTGGCTAAATGTATTGAAAATGCGTTGCTAAGAGAAAAATGCTGTCAACCAAAATCGAGCAAAAATGAGCCAGAGAAACTAAAAAACAAGCTACTTAATTATAACAGACTACGCTAAAGTAAAAAAATAAAGAACAAAAACGGTTGCAACCACACGCAAACCCATGACAGCTACACTCTTCAGACACTTAAATGAACAAGGATACAATTCCATGATAACAACAGGGATTTGAATCTCTTTGAGTCTTTTGTGGAGCGAAGACCTCTATTAAAACATCCATGCGATGGTCTGGTTTTTTTTCTACCTCAGTAGAAAACGAAAACGAAAATTTAAACATCTGGTCCAAACTAAACTAATGGGCGAAAATACCATAACTCACATAATGAAAGTATCCGTAGCTGATACTAGCCTTAAAAAAAGTGAGGAAAAATTTTACGAATCATTGTGCAAGAAAAACAACAGTCAGGAAGCTGAAGAAAACAAAGATTGTAAGTTCAGAACATGTCGTCAATTTCACAGGCCACAGAGCTTTTAACTTCCCTAACGACTACGATAAAGCCGACGAAGAAAAGCTACAATGACTCTTGCAGTAGGCCAAATGAAATAATGAAAACTCCAGCGCTGAGAAAAAGCAAATATTATATTAATACTGGCAGTTTCCGACATCACAACAACAGTGGTTCCACTCACCCATCGATAGCAGCGTCGAAAGAAAACAAATTGCCTCCTTCATTTTCGGGTTTTAAATCTCAAACAGTTTCTCCATGAATCCAGCTATGATGGGGTCTCTGGAACAGACAATGATGAACAGTCGTTAAAAAACCTTAGCAAGTGTCTTTCATCTTTGGCTGCTCGAAGCGTTCTCCTGATTTCAAAACGGCAGTTGACTTCTTGGAAACGCTTCTGGTAAACGCCGAGCTCTCATAATCGAGGATGAATTTAAAAACACTTACTTTTGCTTATTATTGTATACCAAGTTATCTTTAACAGGCTGGTGACCATATAAAAAAATCCTTGCACATTTCCAAGTTCTTAGATGAATGATTTTGAAAGCGTTGGTCTTGAAAAAGTTTGAATTTGACAAAGGTAGTCATCTGTTTCAGCCAATCAGGTGAATGAACTAAAAACGCGCGCTGCCAAAATTTGTTGTTGTAGTTATGTTTTTCGTGTATATTATTAATAAGTAATATCATAGGTGACGAATTACTCCTTAATTTTGGCGCGAAATTTCAGCGTTAATTTGTAATTTCACATGTGAAATTACAAAATTGCCAAGGCAACCCTTCCGTACGTCTCAGTGTCAAGATGGCGACGAAGTTTTAAAATACCGTGAATGAAGATGTCAGGGCACAAAAAGACGCTTTAGAAAACCTGAACACACAAGAGAACATCAAGAAGGATTCTAACAGGTATTTTTCCGAAAAAGTCTGAAAAATTCTGAACTTTATAAGCCAAATTTAAGGTCTAAACATTTCAGAGAGTGGAGTTCTCGATCGATACGACCCAGGATAAACATGTCAAAAATCCAAGATTGCTAACGTAATTCGTCACCCATGATATTAATAGGTAATCATGTGGTATACTCGTGAAATTAGGGAATTGCACTCGAATTCATGTGATTACCTATACATAATAGATTTAATATGAACCAGTCAGGGTTAAAAGAGACCGGCAAGCCTAGGCAAACCTATTGTTTCTATGGTATAACAGAGATGCTCATTAGATATGGAGGAAGGCACTTATTAGTGTGTAGGAAGACCCTCATTAGTTTGGAGGAACGCACTTTTACCTAGCTAGCTAAACACTGACTATAGGCACTTAATTAGTATGAAGGAAGGCCAAATTTAAATAGCATGCAGGATTACGCAATGACTAGGTACTTGCTAGGCACTTGCTAGGCATCAACCAGGAGTAAAACAACATAGTACCCTTACCAAAATGCGTAACTTGATATTCCTAATCAGGTGATTCTTCCTGTCCTAGAACGCATGCTTGAAAACCCATTGCAAGAACAAAGCCACCTGTCAAACCGGTTTTACAGACAAAGGATACCACTGTTTGTGTACCGTTGGGTTTAAAGGAGAGTACTGTGACATCGGTAAGTGCCTTCCTTCGACTAATAACGCTGCATGCATAGGTTCGATTAAAACACTTGTGTGCGACGAACGTGATAGGGTTATTACTTACGTGTTCTGTCGTGATCTTTTTTACGCAACATTAAGGTTTTCTGGTCTTTACAAAAATATCTGTTTAAAAGAAAGTAAAGATTGGCGAAATATTTCAAACAAAATTATTGTCACGCTTGTCACACAAGGCTTGCCAAGTTCATCAAGTGAGATTATTTCAAATGCGTACATAGCCCATTTTTAAAATAAAATCTTTGTCGCCCCTCTGCTTAGTCGCTAAAAAATTCAAAGTGTGTGTTGACAAGATTAATTTCAATTCGATCACTGAGTTATGACAAGATTAATTTCAACTCGCTCACTGAGTTATGGCTGGTTTACATACACGTCGTACGACAAATGAAGAAAACATAAGCATGCTTAAAACAACATACCGATGAATGCACTGTTAATGATTGTCTTTCGTCACGTGAAAAGGTGCTAGTCATTATTCCAAGTTGTTCGAAACGTTAGAATTAAGCGCTTTTCTCTGGTAGATTATAAAGTCTTAGAATTGTCAATTTGATTGATTAGATCTGTGATTGATGAAAGGCTAAAGTGTTTCATACTTTTCGTAGCCTGTGCCAGGGTCTTATATAGTAAGGGACCACGCGAAAAGAAAACCTGAAGTTGAGTGAAAATAAGACGCTCACATTTTTTTTTTGGCTATGCGTTTTTGACAAAGAAATATGCTTTAATTTAAGCTTAACCCTGGACGACACTGCATTTGCTCGTGTGCTTATGTGTACGAAACAAGCTGCAATTTGATGGCCTTTTTTTTTTAGACATTGATGAGTGCGCCGCAGGTACACACAACTGCAGTACGAATACGTTCTGCACCAATAAAGAAGGATCTTACAACTGCACTTGTAATCCGGGATATTACGGAGATGTAGAGAACTGTGAACCGGGTAAGTCTGGGTTACTGCGGGCGACATGAGGAGCCCGCAATCCTAATCTCCAGGTTGTTATTACGCATGCGTCACATTTATGTAGCATGCGAAGCATGGAATGAACGGAATGCACAGAACCCAATTTCATCACGCGCGTTTGGACCTTCTATCACTCGTAATCTGATCACGAATGTTTTGACGTATCTCTCACGTGAAACTTAGCCAAAACACACTAGCAGTCACCGATGGAGCTAAAGGGTTTTGACCTTTGATCGTTGTCGCCCGCACTCCGTAACCTTTGGTTATTGCAACCTATTTTTTAGAAGTTATTTGGTGGCCTGAGGAAATCCCCAATTAGTTCACGGAAAGGCCTCTGTCCTCTAGAGTTGTAAACATTGCTTTGAGCGGCTAAATTCAATCACTTTTTAAAAAAAATCAGAAACTCTGTTTTTAGACTCGTGTTGTTGTTGTTGTTTTTTCTCTTATCTTAAAAACAACAACGCTTAAGAACTTTCATGTGTTTTAAAGAAAGTTCTTACTCTAAGACTTTGGCAAAACACCGGCGGCGTTCTGACGCCCGCGCAGCAACTTTGTTTTGTTTTATATTCACCTCCTAGAGCTGAGATCATAAGAGTTGCTCAAAAATAATATATTATAATCACAACGCCCATTAAAAATTTAAGAAATTCCCCCTACCTTAAACCCAAAATGTCCTAAACGGTCCATGAAATTCAAAACCATTAGTCGTTCATCACTTACTTTGGATCTCAGCTTCGACTCTTTTATATTAGCTGGTGGGTAATCGACGGCCTTCGAGAAATCATTGGCCTACTTCTTACAGTTTATCTCTTTGTCTGTCTTCTGTGTGATACAGTTTCATCCTGCAAGGACATCTTTGATAAGAATATGTAAGTAACAAAATTTCTTTTGTTCTCTTTGATACAAAATTAACCCTTTGTTTAAATTACGGAAAGTTCTCTTAATGCTCCCAGTTAGAGATGTAATCAGTTTCTACATCTGTAATATTTATTGACCTCTACTGAAAAAACACACCATAACACTCTTTGTTAGTCACTCGAAGATTTTGCATAAGCATATATTGTTTTCAGTATCTCTTGGGAGTTAAAATGGCCCCAAGAGAAACTGAAAACAATATATGCTTATGCAAAATTTTACAGTGACCAACAAAGAGTATTATGGTATGTTATGGTATTTTCTGTAGTGGTGAAAACGGACACCTCATGAAAAAGGAAATTAAGGACTATGCGCTGCATCTCTAAATTTGATGTGTGAATTCAAATCCTGATATCACAAAAGATAAAATGCTATATCTTATGGTGCCAGTTTTTCCTCTGTTCCAACATCTTCTGCCATCTTTGCATGAACCAGAAAAATCTAGCACTGAGGCTATGCTTATTAGGCTTCCAATTGCATTACTGTAACAGTTTTCTTTAGGCAACTGATCAATATTCGTTTTGTTTTGACTTTTCGCACATGATTGTTTGAGTCAAGATATTTTTGCATCTTATGACATTGTTTTCATACAAATATATATCGGTGTCATTTGCAGTTTCATCTTTTTAAGATCCAATGAAAGCAAAGCGTACCCACTTGTTGTGGAAGATGAGGTTATTGACGTTTACTGTCACATGACCATGGCTTCGACTTCAAATGGAGAATGCGGTGATGGTGGTTGGACGCTGATCATGAAGATTGATGGCAATCAGGTAGCTGACTTGCATTATCTATGGTTGACTTCAGTTTTCAGTTTTTGATTTTAAATGTCTCTCAATTTCCATTTTTATGTAAAATAACCGTCAGTACCTTAGTCATCTATAAAAACAAGCTAATAGCAGAAACCCACTTATTATCTTTGTAATAATCTTAGTAGTGTACTTGTAAGCTTCTGATTGATATTCCGTATAAATTCCAGTTAATCTAATCATTGTTTTAAACGTAACTTTTCTTCCGTTATTTACCTAATTATTTTTTTTTTTTACAATTTATATACCGGTAAGTTTAAAATACTTCTGTTGACTTGTTACTTTAATAATACCATTTGGAGTGTGTATTTGTTTTATGTAGACGCTACCCACCTAGACTAGCATTAACATCTGAATTAACCAATAAAAATGAAAAGTGAAATGAAAAAATGAAAAGAATTTCTTGTCAGAGTGCTATAATGAGTGTTAAATTTCCGACTAATAAATGGCCGCTCATAATAGCATTCCTATCATGTTAAAGTAACTTACCACTATAGGAAGCATCCCACCAGATATGTGAACCTTTGATCAGTAATGTTTTTTAGCCGGCCTCTATAACCATTCTCCTATTTATGTATGTAAAAGTGATGGTTTTTGTTATAATTTATAACAAAATGTTCTTCCCAAAGCAAACGTTCCACTACACCTCTGCATACTGGCAAGATAAAAACACCTTCAATGTTGATGGAGGCAAGACTGGATTCGACTCACAGGAGACAAAACTTCCCTCCTACTGGAACACATCCTTCTCAAAGATCTGCCTCGGAATGAAGATCAACAGCCAGATCAGTTTTATCGAAATCACTAAGAGCGCCAGTTCCCTGTATTCACTGATGGCTGATGGGCAATACCGCAGCACCTCACTGGGTCGTGACAAGTGGAAGTCCGTAGTTGGTCCCGATGCTTCCTTACAGGTCAACTGTAACATGGAAGGTTTTAATGCAGCGTGTACCCGGACAGGACGATCTAAAGCAAGAATCGGTATAGTAGGTAATGATGAAAACGATTGCTGGTCCTGTAACTCCAGGATCGGCTTTGGCACTGGAGGAGAACACGACGACTCTAACACATGTGGAAACGACGCTATGTACAGCAGTTTGGATAATGGTGACCAGNATTAACATCTGAATTAACCAATAAAAATGAAAAGTGAAATGAAAAAATGAAAAGAATTTCTTGTCAGAGTGCTATAATGAGTGTTAAATTTCCGACTAATAAATGGCCGCTCATAATAGCATTCCTATCATGTTAAAGTAACTTACCACTATAGGAAGCATCCCACCAGATATGTGAACCTTTGATCAGTAATGTTTTTTAGCCGGCCTCTATAACCATTCTCCTATTTATGTATGTAAAAGTGATGGTTTTTGTTATAATTTATAACAAAATGTTCTTCCCAAAGCAAACGTTCCACTACACCTCTGCATACTGGCAAGATAAAAACACCTTCAATGTTGATGGAGGCAAGACTGGATTCGACTCACAGGAGACAAAACTTCCCTCCTACTGGAACACATCCTTCTCAAAGATCTGCCTCGGAATGAAGATCAACAGCCAGATCAGTTTTATCGAAATCACTAAGAGCGCCAGTTCCCTGTATTCACTGATGGCTGATGGGCAATACCGCAGCACCTCACTGGGTCGTGACAAGTGGAAGTCCGTAGTTGGTCCCGATGCTTCCTTACAGGTCAACTGTAACATGGAAGGTTTTAATGCAGCGTGTACCCGGACAGGACGATCTAAAGCAAGAATCGGTATAGTAGGTAATGATGAAAACGATTGCTGGTCCTGTAACTCCAGGATCGGCTTTGGCACTGGAGGAGAACACGACGACTCTAACACATGTGGAAACGACGCTATGTACAGCAGTTTGGATAATGGTGACCAGCATATCAAGGCTATGGGATACATTTTGGTTCAATGAAATAGAACTCTCAATAAATCAAGAGTAGTAAATAAGTAAATAATGTTGATTAAAAGACCTTTTTGATCGAATTCGCTAGTTCTCTATTGCGCAGTGACAAAAGCTTAACTCAGTCCTTTATCGATCCACTCTGAACTTCGAGCACTACCAACCCGAAGGAGTTTGTTTTGTTTTGTTTTGTTTTTTTATTTACATTTCTGGCGTTGGGGTGCTGATATAAGGGGAGCGGTTCTTTCAAAATTACTTCCAAGAATTGCATTAAATCATTAGTAAATATTGTTCAGGTTTCATTCGAGGACAGCAACAATCATTCTCTCTTGTTAGCTTCCATCTGCGGCGTTAAATTAAGGGCGGCTTTTAATTGAGTAAATACGGTTTTCTAATATTACTGCCTGCCCCAGGTGTGTAAGCCGCCCCCGGGAGAGGGGGGGGGGGTTGGTACTACCTATGATGGCCTATACGGGGCAGCTCCTTGCGGAAGGGTATCTTTTTAAGGGTTTAGGTATATCATACACGGAAAGGGTAGGGATTTCACTAGTTGAAGTAATTATCAATAAAAGGGTAGGGAAATCTGTCATTTGAGTCTGTGAAAAGGCCCGAAAGGGCTAACAGATGAATTTTGTGGCTTTATAAAGTCGAGAACGGTTCTATTTTTGTGACTGCTTCCGGTGACGGTGCATTTACAGCTGCAGTTAAAAGGGTTGAAAAGTAATCTAAACAAGGTGTGTGAAAGGGGTACCATTAGTCAATAGTATAACACGAAAGGGGTACCTTTTTCGGCGTGGAAAATGGTATATAAAAGGGTAAGGGGTTGGACTTCGGGACTGGAGCCTCCCCGCATAAACATTTGTTGAGTACTCGCCCCCCGGGTAGGCCGTTGTTTTCGACTTAAAAACAACAAGGTTGCGAGTACTTGGTTGCGCAAGTCCTATCACAATGGACAGTTTAACTTGCAAATTGATACGTTTTCGTTGTTGCGTCGTTGCGAAGCAACAAACGTTGCCTTACAAACCCCAAAACATAACATGCCACGCCACTTTCACGTTCCAGCAAACGTAGCCTATGCCAGGCTCTCGTCAGTGTGGACGAGCAAAAAAAGCAGTCGATCAGCGAAAAAGCGAGCAAGCTCCGCTGGAATATTCTACAGCGAACCTTGCCAAAATATATACACTAGGCCTTGATTAAATCATTATTGATTCATTCTGATAAAAGAAAGAAAAGCAAGTCAAAGCAACAAGAACTCAAAGGCATGCAGAGTTTTCGTACGCCCTAGAGTGTGACGCTAGCACTGAACAAAAACACTCTTCCGTTCTATATTAAAATACTTAAAAAAGAAAATTAGAAAATTTTTTTTTCTGGCAGAAAAGGGTCTTTAGTCAGACGCTACTGTGCGGTCATAGACTTCAGTAATTTTTAGAATAAAGTATTTCTCTTGAGAATTTTTAGCCGGGGCAGCTTTTTAACATCGCGCAGAGCTACATTTTAATTTCAACAACTACAGGCGGTTTTTTATAATTTCGTACGCTTTCGTCGAAAATAATTAAGGGCCATTCAAGATTTCCTCCAGAAAAACAACCTTGCTAGTAGAAACCTATTTGTTTTCAAACAAGTTACTTAGTATTTTTTTCATTTGATAATGCAGTTTATTGTTTTAAGGATTTTGTTAGAGCTGCCTCTGTGAATTCATGGGCAAGTAGACTCAAATGAAGGTTAGTTAATTTCACTGGGCAACTACGCTGTTCAATACTAACTGTAGCTTGATGAAGTCGTAAAAGTGACTAAGATTGTTCAAGTCACTGTGTGAAACTCGCACGAGTGGTACGAGTTGTAAAGCAATGTACAACATTTGTGCGATTGGCTCTGTTGTTGAATGTCACGTTTGACAAAATTGTCTGTCTAGTAGATTACTCGGAAATATGATTTGAGTGCCTGAAGAGAGGACTAGTCAAGAGGCCACTCTCCAGTGCACAACACGTATGGCTTGTAAAACTGGGGAAACTCCAAAGTGCATTTCATTAAGGCAGGGGCACCCAACGTCAATTTTCGGAAAATATCTGTTCGGAAGACGATTTGTGATCTAGAATTTTCGGAACGTTTGTTGTAAAATTTCTTGCTTGTCTGCCTCTCCTTGGATTTTCGAACATCCAAAAAATGGTATAATTTCCCATTTTTAACGGATTTTTACCCTAAAAAGATCATCTAGAATTTTCTGGAGCCCTTTTTTCTGACTGAAATTTTCGAAAAGGTAAGTTTTGATCCCTATAATTTTCGGATCACTGGACTTTCAGCTAGGAAATCCGAAAAGATCAAAATTTTTAGGGGATAAAAATATGCCCATATCTACCGTTTAAATACTAAAATACGTTTAACAATGCTATGTTTAAGTGGTTTTGAACTATAATCTCGTTGGGTGCCCCTGATTAAGGGCGCTTAGGCCTAGGCGAAACGTCTAACTTCTTATGTGACGAACCAAGCTTACTGAGTTAAGTAAATGAAAAATTCCACATCTGGCTCAATTAAGTTCGTCTGAATGAGTTTGGATCGTCCAAAAAGTTCAACCCATCTGCTTCAAACGGATAGAGCGTCTGAAGATCGTCTCCGCTGGTACAAACGTCGATCTTCACTTTGAC